TTTCAGCTGCTCTCTTCCCCTTTGGGTCCTTCGCCCATTTAGAGGTGGTCCATTTCTCAGAAATAAACATCTTCCTCAAATTGGCTTTATTTCTGCGAATACTGGCTAGGGTTAAAAATGAAGTTGCGAAGCGAGGCACTACTGGTCTTACCAATTCATGTTGGTTAGTAAATTCTCTCATCATTAGCACGTACAAGTGGTTGTAAATAAAACCACTAAGTGCCACAGCCTTCCTAAGACACCTTTTCACCTGCTCAATCTTTCCAATATCCTCCAAAATTAATTCCAGACAATGAGCAGCGCATGGTGTCCAATATAGATGAGGTCGCTTGGCTTCTAAAAGTTTTCCAGCTAGGACATAGTTTGAGGCATTATCCGTCACAACTTGGACAACGTTTTCTTCTCCAATCTTCTCCACCATTCCATCTAAGAGTTGAAAAATCTTTTCTCCAGTTTTGATGCATGAAGATGCATCGATGGATTCCATAAACAACGTTCCAAAAGATCAATGAACTAAAAAGTTGATTAGTGTCCTATCCCTCCTATCAGTCCACCCATCTGACATCAGCGAACAGCCATTTCTCTTCCATTCTACCTCAGGATCGCCCATAAGATTTTTTGTGTACTGTACTTCTTTTTTCAAGTACGTTACTCGAGCTTCATGATAAGGAGGAGGTATCAAACCAGGGCCAAATTGCCCCACAGCTTCTAGCATCACTTCAAAACTTCTCAAGCGAATAGTATTTAGAGGAATACCTGCTTGATATATCCAACGCATGATGAATTGCACTGTAGCATCTCTCCCCTCTTTATCATATTTTTCAGTAATAGTTGATTGCTTCAACCTCTTCAATCGATTTCTATCATCAACTTTTCCAAGATGTTAATAAACAAATTTATCTATTGGCCCCTTTGGTCGTGGTGGTTTTAACACTGATGGACTACAAGAGTCACTACTTCCACTTCCACTTCCTCTCCCTCTCCCACCCATACTACTCACATTATCACCTGTGTTTATTCTTGTTCGCTTGTTCATTGGGGTTGATGTTGATCCAGATCCACTACCACTACCACCAACTACTTCCATCTCATCTTCTTCAATCAAAGTTAAATCTTCATACGTTGGGAGGGCATTACTCTCTTCCCTTCTTGCTTTTGTTCTTGTTTGATACTCCTTCAATTCTTCTCTCACATTAGTTGGGCATTTCAAACATGCCTCTACATTTCTATTTCCCCCAACCAAATGGTTTGTTGCTCGGCAAACTCCACCTTTGGTAATTTTTCCACAAAACATGCATTTGCAAGTGTTTGTATCTTTTGGATCATCCAATATGATGTATTGCCAACAAGGATGTTTGCGTTTGTTTCCACCTTCTTCCATCCTAATATAATTCAAATTTGGAAGATTAAAAAAAAATGTAAAGGGAAGACTAAAGAGCCACTGTGAAGTGTGAAGAAAGCCAAAGATTTAGAAAACTTTTGTGTGGAATAAAAGAGAGGAAACGAAAAGGAGTAAATGAGATATAAGAA